GTCCCCGGGCGGCGCGCAGGCACCGGGGCGCTTCGGCGCTGAGTACCAGGCTCCGGTCTTTAATTTCTACTGACGGAGGCTCTTCCCGCCCTCCCCATATGTAAACGCACAGACGGCTCCGGTCTGTCCGGGAGAGGGGCCCCACCGGCCTTGCCCGCGCTCCGAGGAAGGGTGCGCAGCACCCTGGGGCCGTGGGGCCTGTGGGAGGACAATGCCCCGTGAGTCCCGGCCCCTCCGCGGCGCCGGAGGCAGCTCCCAGGGCCTCAGGGGCTACCTGGACCTGCAGGGCTCCTCCACTGCTTGACACCGAGCTGCGGTTCACTGGGACCCACTAGTGAAGGCGCCGGGAGCGCAGCACGCTGCGGGAGAGAAAGCCAGAGGGGGTCGGGGCCACCGCGGGGAACGTGCCGCTGTCCCTTCACACCCCGACACACTTGCGGGGGCGCCCCTCCGCTCCACAGTGAAAAGCCGTCACTGAGTCTGGACAATTTGCCTATTCTGGGAGACAGTGTTGGGGGGTGGGGGCCCCAGGCCACGTGGCCATGCAGCTCCTTTTCCCAGGTATGTTGTCCCGAAGGTCCACCCTGCTTCAGCCCACCGTTGCCCTCTCACCTGCTCTCGGAGCGCAGGAACCCATAGGTCCCCAGCTTCTGGGTGCTGAGGAGGTGCCCTTGCCCGCCCGCAGCAGTCCTGAGGCCCTGTTCCCTTCCCCAACCGCCTTGGCCGGCCCCACCCTTCCACCCGCTGCTGACCTCCTCAGAGCTGAGCCCCCCTTCCATGCACCCCGAGTCCCCAGACACGCACCCTGACTCCAGACGCCTCTACCTAGCTGCCAAGCAGCATCTCCCTGGCCAGCTCAGAAGCCAGAAGGGCCCAGCGGAGTTCCAGAGCTCTCCGAAACCCCCCACTCACTGCGTCCTCTGGGACCTCACCACCAGCCTCACAGGTCACAGGCCAATCCAGAAGGCCATCGCCTGGCTCACCTCTCCGAGGGGCTGGGCGCCCGGGTCCTCCACCTCCCATCATCTCCACACCTGCCCAAGCCACCAGCACCTCCAGCGGCCCCCTCGCCCTGCCCAAGAGCCCTGCTGACAAATTCTGCCCTCTGCTGAGGCCTGCAGCTCGCTGCCCCCCCGCACTGAGCTGTCCCCCGCACCCCCCTGCCTCACCTCCTCAGCTCCTCCACCTGTGCTCCTGTGGGCCCTGCCCTGTGCTGTGCATGTGAGCGCAGCACGTCCTGTCCCTACCCGCAGTGCCAGCAGTGCCAGCAGTGCCACCCACCCCGAACCTGCATCGTGGGGTCTGCACTGTCAGAAACGATGCTTCCCACTGCCAACCCCGAGAGCAACTAAAGCTGTCCAACCATCGGGACAGAGGTGAGAGAGTGACCGCCGGGAACCCGCTCCTCCCTCAGGTGGGTAACACAGCTGACAGCAGGCGCGAATCGCAGGCTCCACACACCTGGCCAGAGGGTGAAGGAAGCTTAGGTCCCCCTTTGTCATCTGCGCCTTGGTGGCTGCTTCCCTCACACTCTGAATTTCCAGGAGCACTGGCAGGACGCCTTCTGAGGACGACCCTGTCATGGCTGGACGCTGCCGGGGCACCCTCGGTGGCCCTTGGGGGGCTCTTGAGAACTGCTGGGGTGCCCTGGCTGGGGCTTTGGCTCCCGAGCTGGAGGCTGGCGGGAGCGGGGGCTGCGGCATGTCCTCCCACAGCGAGGCAGGCAAGGGGATGGGAACAAGGGGGTCTGCGGCCAGCGGGCTGTCAGAGCCAGGCACGGAGCCCAGGGCGCCCTTGGAAGGCCCCGCCGAGGGGGGCTCCCTCGCCCTCTGTTGCTGTGCTTTCTCCTTCACCCAGGGGTGGGGCTTTGGCTGCCCCCTGACCACCACTTGTGTCCCCTCCAGCAAGGACAGCCGGCTGGGGTTCAGGGGCAGCGAGACCTGGCCATCCACCGATGTGGCCGCTGCCCGGGACGTCCCCGAGAGCCAGGAGGGCCGGGAAGCCCCAGGAGGCCTTGGGCACTGCTCTCTGGAGCTGCCCATGATCATCAGCTTGGCCATCATGAGCCCCTCCACAGAGAAGGCCCTGCTGCACTCCCGCTCCGGAGCCTTGATGGCCACCTGCTGGGTCCTCTCCCTGCTCTTCTGCTGCTGCTCCTCTTTGGACCTCGCACCAGGCAGGCCCAGCGACGGCGCCTCCGTCCTCCTGCAGGCCGTGCCTTCTGACTTTGCCTGGCCCCGCAAGGCCCCCCGGGTGACCTCCTGGGTTTGGCTGAGCAGCACCTCCTTGGACTGCTTGGTGGTAGCGGTGAAGGGCAGGTCCAGGGACACCTTCTGGGTCCTCATGTCTATCACATTTGTCTCCTGGGCGCCCACCAACACCCCATGCACCCCTGTCCTCTGGGGCTTGTTTTTCTCGGTCACATCCGCTCCAGGAAGTCCCGCCAGCGCCTTGTCGAGCTGAGCTGGGGGCTTCCCCTGAAAGGCAGGTCGGCTGGGAGCCGCCCGGGGGCGGGGGGGCGGGGCAGGGACCTGCTGGACCCAGGATGGCAGGAGCAGAGGCTGCTTCTCTGGGGCAGGGGGACATGCGGCCTTCTGGGGACCTGTGTGTGCAGGTGGGGCTGTCAGTGCCTGGGGTGGTGGCTTGTAGGGTGGGGAGAGCACAGCTTTGGCCTCCTGGGATGAGTGGGGGGCAGCTGGGGACTTCTGAGGACCAGCAGAGACAGTTGGGGTCTTCCAGGATGGGGCCGGGACAGCTGGCACCCTCTGAGGCTGCTCCGTGATGCCCGGTGCCCTCTGCTGTGGGCCAGCACCAGACCGGGCCTTCCGGGAGGGTGGCGGCCACTGGCCCACCTGCAAATCCGCGTCTCTGGCCTTGTCCCGGGGGCTGGGGAAAGAGGGACAGGGTGGAAAGACGAACAGGGCAGGAGAGGGCGGAGCCTTGCCGGAGGAGGAGGAGGACCGCGTGCTGGCTTCTGGGACCAGGGAGTCCTTGATGTCTCCATGCCACAGGAGCGTCTCCCAAGAATCATAGGACCCCAGTGGGGAAAGGCTGCAGCTGGCAGGGGACACACAGCGGGAAGGAGTTGCAATCAGACCCTCCCGGCCTGGGGCCTCCTCAGAATCGGGTGCGCAGGCCTGGTCATGGGAGAGGGGCACAGGGTCAGGCCAGGGTGGGGCACAGGCTCAGGAGCCTGCCTCCCGGGCTCTGCCCTTAGACACCGGGTCCAGCCTCCTCCCGCAGGGCCTAGCCGGGCCCAGCCCTGTGCTATAGCTGGCCTGCTGGACGGTGCTGGAGATGACGCTGAAGATGGTGCGGATGGTGATGCTGGGCTTCCCTGTGGAGAGAACGCAGCCTGAGCCCTTGGCAGCTGGGCACACAGCCCCATGTGGTCCACACGTGGTGGCAGAGGGAAGGGGCTGCTCTCACCAGGGTCATGGATTTGGATGGCACATCTGTCAGTGTTGGCACTGCGGGCGGACCTGTAGGAACAGCGCGGTGGGACGTGGTGGCACAGGGCCAGGGTCTCCATCAGCCTCCCAGCCCCCGCCAGCGACAAGAGCCCGGGCACCTCTTTCCTGCGGGTTTCATCCGCAGGTCAGCACACTCGTGCTTTGGCCAGAGGAGAGGCACAGAGTCGCCCACAGCCCGGGACTGGAGCCTGCACTGGAGGCCGGGGGGGGGGGCAGTCAGGGGCAGTGGGGGGGGCGGCCCAGTGCCCGCCCCGGCCCCCCGGCTGCCTCCCCCTCACTTTGGCCTTCCTCGACTTCTGTATACTCAGCTTCTTCGGAGGAAAGGCGGGCTCCCCGATGGCGGCTGCAGGAGGAGGCAGAGGGGAGGGTCGGGCTGCAGGGTGTGAAGGGGGATGTGGGGACAGGAGGCTGCCAGCCACATCAGAGGAGAGGGCGGGAACCCAAGTGCTGGAGCTCTGCCCACACCCCGAGGGATGACCCTGCCACAGGGAGGGCCGAGGGGGCAAACCCGCTCACCTGTGCAGCTGCTGTGGGCCAGGTCCTGTGGACAGCAAGGGGCAGTCAGAGGGCACCGCCCAGCTTCCACGTGCCCGCCAGCCACACAGTCCATGGGCCACGCCCAGCTCTCGCCCCTCACCCCAGGGGTCCGGGACCCCGCCCCTCCCCTGGGGACCTCAGCCTTGGGCTGGGTCCCAGTCCCCGTGGAAGGGGCATCATGGCTTCCTAGGCCCCCCAGGTCTCCGTGTGGGGTCCCACCTGCAGGCGCCAGGTGGAGGCAGGCACTGTGGCCAGGAGCGCGTCTTGGCCAGGTGGGTGTGGAGGCCGGGGGGGCCGGGCGGTGGCCGGCTCCCGGAGCAGGTGGGCAAGGCGTACCCAGCAGTTGAACAGGAAGCCCAGCTCGGGGTCCGGGGCCTCCAGGGCCAGGTAGTAGCAGCGGCCGGTGACCAGCCGCAGCTTCAGGCGCCGGGCAGACACGTTGTGGACGTAGAGGCGCGCGCAGTCCAGGGGGATCACCCTGGGGGCACAGACGGGGGCTAGGACCGGAGGGAGG